TCTCTCTCTCTCTCTCTCTCTCTCTCTCTCTCTCTCTCTCTCTCTCTCTCGTGTGTGTGTGTGTGTGTGTGTGTGTGAAGGGATTTGCTCCATCACACATCCTGAAAGTGCTAAAACTAGGTCACAAACTCCCAGGTTTCTGAGCTGTACTCAAGGGCTCCTTCTGCTCTGGAAGGCAAGAGAAATGATAACTAAACCAGGGAACGAAACTTTACTGGGACCCCCTCTTTCTTAGGGTCTGTTACAGAGTGGCTGTTCATCCCTGGAATGCTTTAGTGCTAATATGGAAATGTCAGGTGGGGGAGGGGCGTATCTAGACTGTCTTTGGAAGCTGAATATTCTGACTTAGCCCACCTAGCATCTGATATAGCATGGGTTTGACGAGAAGCTGTGAAATAAATCATCAATGGCAATGAGACCTGGGACTGTATGATGTTAGAAGAAACACACTTAGTGCCCTAGGGAGATGTGAAGGGCTTCGTGAGTTAGAAACAAGCAAGCTGAGGAATACCTAGGTGTCTGTGGTTCTAGTTTAGGGAATCGGCTCCCTTATTTCCTAGCTTGCCAAGCTCCAGAAATTGAGAATTTCATGTAACTTCCCCCAGTGAGCACTCCTTCCAGGTCTCCAGACAGTGGAGGAAAAGAAGGGAGTTTCCCTCTGCAGCTCTTTGATTTCTAACCAGTGGGATTAACGTGATCCTTTGAGGCTGAACCAGGGAAAGCTTCATGAGGGCTGGGCTATGCCCTACCAGTCACTGGGCCCAGTCCACTGACAGCACATCAGTTGCAGTGCAGAAGAGGCCACGGGAAGAAGACTAGATCTGTGGCTATTAATCCACAGCTACAGGGGGAAACCCTCTACTTTAACTCTCATGGGCCCTATTCAAGATGAGTCAGAGAGGCAGTATGCATTTTCCTCAGAAAGAGATGTTGGGACTTGAGGGAGAGGCTCCCAAGGCCGTTGCAGAGATGAGCTCAGAAATAAATACAGGGCCTTTTTGTGCCGTGAGGCTCCTGTGTATTCAGTTTTGCTCTTCTCGGCACCAGTGCTTAGGGAAAATAGTGCAGAAAGGTGGGTGTTTAGGAAGAGACCAGGATCGTGAGGTTTGGGCCACAGGATACTGCAGAACCCCACCTCATCTACCCACCCACCCACCCCCTCACACACACACACACACACACACACACACACACACACACACACACTGGCGGTGCAAGCTTGGGAAGGTTGGAGCTCAGCCCAGTTCCCCTCCCCCCAAGGGTAAAGCCTGAGCCGCTGTCAGACCCCCTCTTCACCCCTCCAACTCGGAGCTCAGCACTCCCACCCCTTGCTGTCTAGTGGGAAATGGGGTCCCCAGTGGTGGTGGAGCTAAAACCAAGCTCTTCACACTTTCCCAAACTGGCCACCTGCTGGTGTTCCTGAAGGCCTAGGCTGTGTGACCTCGGGACTGTGGGAGAGGGAAACAAACCGTTCACTCCAGTCCGCCAGACCCCTAAAAAGGCAAGAGATTTGATGATACCTGCAGAAACTGAAACATCGACCTTGGCAGCGCGCTTCATTTTTTTTTTCCCTCAAAGCTTTGGGCGTGTTTTGATGCGCCTGATTCAGCTTAACTCTAAAAAAAATAAATAAATAAAAATAACCTTTTGAGAATGGTCTCCTTCGGTAAGTGGCATTGAAACGGAAAGAGACACTACACTTGGTGCTTCTTATGACTAGCAACAATTATAAAAATACGGGAGATAAAGGGAGACAGGCGGCCAATGACTTTCTCCTAAGATCCCTTTCCTAACACGGGCACGGCTGGGTCATGTCTTCAGACAAGGTCTGTTTTTCTCCCGCGGTTCACTTGATCCGGGCGTAGCCTCCCCTCCCTGCACTCTAGACACCTTAGACCAAAGTGCTGTTGATGGGGTCTGAGCTCATCTTGAGAGCGCCCCCCAGAGAAGTCCCTGAGAAAGGAGAGCCCAGAGCTCAGCTTTCCACTTGCCTTTAGCTACACAAGACACAGAGCACCTGCCCGCTTAAAGTCAGGGTTGCCTGCTCCAAAGCCACCGTGGGGGCCTCGCGGAAAAATGCCGGCCCAGATGGGAGGCCCGCGGGTGCTCAGAACCTTCGTGACGGAGGTAGGTGGTGAGGAAAGCTAATGTTAGTAGAGTCGTTGGCTTTGTGCTGAGGGACTAGAGAGCTCTCTTCAAGGAGAGGGTTGAGATCTTAAAAAGCAAATAAAACAACTTTCCATACTATAATTGCTATTAATGGAAAGGAGCCTACGCTGAATTAAGTAGTTCAAAACTGCTTCTTCATTATCGGGAACTCCCTCACTACAAGGAGGGGAAAGAAAATGTGAAAACAAAAACCAAAATCAAGAAGCCTCCTTGACTGGCCGCCGAAGTGTCTAGGAGGCACCTGCCGGGCCAAGAAGCGCTCCGCCCTCCCAGCCTCCAGCACGCCAAGGAAGCTCAAGCAGCAGACAAGCAAAGCAAAAACAAAAACAAACAACAACGAAAACGCTTAATTTCCAAGGAGAAAAATCGGAGGTGGTTTCCAAATCCGTGTCACGCAGGGCTTGGCTGGGTAGCCCACTCAGCTGTTGATCCGGGCCTGGTAACAGCAATGAGGCTGACGCCCCCGGCCCCGCTAGGGAGTACAGCCCACAGCTCCCCCTTGCCAGGCGCCCAAGGACCCTCAAGGCGCGGGGCTCACACTTGAAGCCTGGGAACGCTCAGACAGGAAACCCACTTCCTCCTAAGCAGTTTCTTGCTAGCCGGATGAGAGGCGCCCAATTGAAGCAGAATGATCCTCATCTACTAATATCCAGCGTGGCCACAAAGCGACCGGCCATTTACGCCGCCACTTTAGACAAAGATATTTGGTTATTCCCGGGGAAGCGAGTGCACTTTTGCATGGCTGAGCTCCGGGAGGAGGCGAGCCTCAGCCCAGCCTCCCGCCCGCTGGGATGCGGGAGTCGAGATATTCGCCTCCTCCCGGACAGTGAGTTCCACCCGGGTTCAGACTCGGTTCCACTCTACAACGGACCCGCGGGCGCTCGCTCGGCTCCCTGCCCGGGCTCTCCCTGAAGCATCAGAAGGGAACGCAGCGGAGATCTGGGCTGGAGTGCTGGGACAGTGATGGTCTCGAAAAGTCAGCACCAGCCTCCGAAGCCGGAGTATCCAGGCCATGGGCAAGGGTCAGGGGAACCAGGTTTGTTCGAGATGGGACAACTTCAGTGGCGGACTCTCACGTTAATCCCAGCACCCTTGTCCTCCCAGCTCAGAAGGCCAGCGGTGTTCTTGCCTGGGCCGGCAAAAGGGGTGGAGAAAGGGAGCGGTGGGGTGGGGTGGGCTGGGGGGCTGGTCCGCTAAGAAGCCCGGAGCGTGGCGCGGGGGGGGGGGGCGCGGGGATCGGTGACAGCCTCCCGGAGGCAGTCGTTCCCTTACTCAGCTCCCCCTCCGCCCGCTGGGATTCTCTCGGTAAGGGGAAAGGGGGCGGGGAGCAGAGGTGTCCCTCTGACAGCGGCAGAAGAGGCGGACAGACTGACAGACTCATAGACCAACAGTGCAGCCCCCGGGTTCATCCCCCCCTCCCCCCAGACTCGCACACTCTTTTGGTGGTGACTGGGGCTCAGCGCCGCGAAGCCCGATGTGGTCCGGAGGCGGTGGGAAGGCGCGGGGCTGGGAGGCTGCAGCGGGAGGGAGGAGCAGCCCCATCAGGCTCAGGTGAAACCCCGCTCCCCGTACCTCAGCCTCCTCTCCCCAAAGACCAGCCCCTGACCCGGGAACCCCGACCGAATTGGACCACGGGTTCCACTTTGTAACTCCTCAAGTTGGTTGCAAAGCAGCAGCAGTCACCTTCCTTCTTCCTTTCCATCCCTCCTCTTAGGTTACTCTCTACCCCACCTCTGGCCCTCCCGCTCTCGGTTCCCTCCTCCTTTCCCTCCCCCGCCTTTTCCTCGCGCGCCACAGGCACCCCACAAAAATGGGGGTGGGGGTGTCCAAGGGAGGGGGGAAGTAATGCTTTGGGTCTCTCTCTCTCTCTCTCTCTCTCTCTCTCTCTCTCTCTCTCTCCTTTCTCTCTTTGAGACCTAAAAATCCTGACAAGTGAAGCTTAAAGGTGTTTACCTTGTCATCAGCATGTAAGCTAATTATCTCGGGCAAGATGTAGGCTTCTATTGTCTTGTTGCTTTAGCGCTTATGCCCCGCCTCTGGTGGCTGCCTAAAACCTGGCGCCGGGCTAAAACAAACGCGAGGCAGCCCCCGAGCCTCCACTCAAGCCAATTAAGGCGGACTCGGTCCACTCCGTTACGTGTACATCCAACAAGATCGGCGTTAAGGTAACACCAGAATATTTGGCAAAGGGAGAAAAAAAAAGTAGCGAGGCTTCGCCTTCCCCCTCTCCCTTTTTTTTTTCCTCCTCTTCCTTCCTCCTCCAGCCGACGCCGAATCATGTCGATGAGTCCAAAGCACACGACTCCGTTCTCAGTGTCTGACATCTTGAGTCCCCTGGAGGAAAGCTACAAGAAAGTGGGCATGGAGGGCGGCGGCCTCGGGGCTCCGCTCGCAGCTTACAGACAGGGCCAGGCGGCCCCAACGGCTGCGGCCATGCAGCAGCACGCCGTGGGGCACCACGGTGCCGTCACCGCCGCCTACCACATGACGGCGGCGGGGGTGCCCCAGCTCTCGCACTCCGCTGTTGGGGGCTACTGCAACGGCAACCTGGGCAACATGAGCGAGCTGCCTCCTTACCAGGACACCATGCGGAACAGCGCTTCGGGCCCCGGATGGTACGGCGCCAACCCAGACCCGCGCTTCCCGGCCAGTAAGTGAGGCCGCCCCGCCGCGGGGCCGCGGGCTGAGCACAGGAGGCGCGGTCACTGCTGGCGCCAGAAACACTGGGCCGCGAAGCGCCCTGCCGCGGAGGCAGCTCGCTCGTAGGCCCCAGGTTG